CTGAGGGTTTGGGTTTGCAGGGGGAGGGCTGGGATGGGTTTGGGGAGCCCTGGATTTGGTTTGGGGAGCCCTGGATTTGGTTTGGGGAGTCCTGGATTGGGTTTGGGGAGTCCAGGACCAGTTTGGGGAGCCCTGGATTTGGTTTGGGGAGTCCTGGATTGGGTTTGGGGAGTCCAGGACCACTTTGGGTAGGCCTGGATTGGGTTTGGGGAGTCCTGGATTTGGTTTGGGGAGCCCTACACTGGGTTTGGGGGGCTGGGATTGGATTTGGGGGGCTGGGATTGGATTTGGGGACTCCTGGATTTGGTTTGGGGAGTCCTGGATTGGGTTTGGGGAGTCCTGGATTGGGTTTGGGGAGTCCTGGATCAGTTTTATGAAGTCCTGGATTGGTTTGGGAAGTTCAGGATCGATTTTGGCAGTTCAGGATCAATTTTGGAGTCCTGGATTTGGTTTGGGGAGCCCTGGACCAGTTTGGGTAGGCCTGGATTTGGTTTGGGGAGCCCTAGATTGGATTTGGGGGGCTGGGATTGGGATTTGGGAGTCCTGGATCAGTTTTAGGAAGTCCTGGATTGGTTTGGGAAGTTCAGGATCAATTTTGGCACTTCAGGATCAATTTTGGAGTCCTGGATTAGGTTTGGGGTGGCTGGGATTGGGTTTGGGAAGTTCAGGATCGATTCTGGCAGTTCAGGATCAATTCTGGGGGGCTGGGATCGGTTTGGGCAGTCCTGGATTGGTTTGGGGAGTCCTGGATCAATTTTGGGAAATCCTGGATTGGTTTGGGAAGCTCAGGATCCATTTTGGAGTCCTGGATTAAGTTTGGGGAGCCCTGGATTGGTTTGGGGAAGCTGGGGTTGGGTTTGGGGAGTCCTGGATCAATTCAGGCAGTTCAGGATCAGTTTTGGAGTCCTGGATTGGGTTTGGGAAGTTCAGGATCAATTTTGGCAGTTCAGCATCAATTCTGAGGGGCTGGGATTGGTTTGAAGAGTTGGGGTTGGGTTTGGGGAGTCCTGGATTGATTTGGGAAGCTCAGGATCGATTTTGGCAGTTCAGGATCAATTTTGTCAGTTCAGGATCAATTTTGGAGTCCTGGACTGGTTTTGGGGGGCCCTGGATTGGTTTTAGGGGGCTGGGATCAGTTTTGGGAAGTGCTGGATTTGGTTTGGGGAGCTCAGGATCAGTTTTGATAATTCAGGATCAATTCTGGGAGTCCAGGATTGGTTTGAGAAATCCAGGATCACTTTTGGAAAGTCCTGGATTAATTCTGTGAGTTCAGGATCAGTTTTGGGAACCCCAGGATCAATTTTGGGAGCCCAGGATCAATTTTGGCAATTCCAGGATCACTTTTGGGGTGCAGGATCCATTTTGGGGAGTGCAGCATTTGTAGGAACCCCATTCACACACATGAATTGCAATTTTGGTTCCTCTGTAGGATTTTGGCACTGCTTTCCCCCAAAGCTGGCATTGCCCCTGGTGNGAGGGCAGCCCCAGCCTCTCCTTCAGGGACTTCAGCACTTGAACTAAAAATCAAGAGAAAAAGTTTTAAAAAGTGGCAAAAATCTCAATTTTGAGTGGGAAATGAGACAGGAGAGCCCCTCAGTGAGAATCAGAGGGACTGTGAAGCCTCAATCAATGTGCAGAAAGAAGCAGGAGAAAGGAGGAACCGAAATCCCAAAGGGAAAAGCTGGACAGAAACCCCAATGCAAAATCCCAATATAAAACCCCAATACAAAATCCCAATCCAAAATCCAGTACAAAATCCCAATACAAAACCCCAATACAAAATCGCAATACAAAACCCCAATATAAAATCCCCAATCCAAAATCCCAATATAAAATCCCAATACAAAATCACAATATAAAACCCCATACAAAACCCCAATATAAAATCTCAATACAAAATCCCAATATAAAACTCCGATACAAAACCCCAATACAAAACTTCAATATAACATCCCAATATATAACCCCAATACAAAATCCCAATATAAAATCTCAATATAAAATCTCGATATAAAACCCCAATATAAAATCTCAATACAACACCCCAATACAAAATCCAGTACAAAATCCCAATACAAAACCCCAATACAAGATCCCAATACAAAATCCCAACATAAAATCCCAACATAAAATCCCAACACAAAACCCCAATACAAAACCCCAATACAAAACCCCAAAACAAGACCCCAAGTACAAAACCCCAGTACAAAATCCCAATGCAAAACCCCAATCCAAAACTTCAATATAACATCCCAATATAAAACCCCAATATAACATCCCGATACAAAACCCCGATACAAAACCCCGATACAAAATCTCGATATAAAATCTCAATATAAAACCCCAATATAAAATCCCAATATAAAACCCCAATGTAAAACCCCAATACAAAATCCCAATACAAAACTTCAATATAACATCCCAATATAAAACCCCAATATAAAATCCCAACACAAAACCCCAATACAAAATCCCAATATAAAATGTCATATAAAATCCCAATACAAAACCCCAATACAAAACCCCAATACAAAATCCAATACAAAACCCCAATACAAAATCCCAATATAAAACCGCAATACTATATCCCAATACAAAATCCCAATACAAAACCCCAATACAAAATCCCAATACAAGATCCTAATACAAAACTTCAATATAACATCCCAATATAAAACCCCAATACAAAACCCCAATACACAATCCCATATAAAACCCCAGTCCCCGGCTGTACCTGTTCCTCTCCTGGGGGCCCGGTCGTGGCCGTGCTGCAGCTCCGCCCTCCTGCCCAGCCTGTCGGCCANGTTTTTTAAGGAATTTCTGCCTTGGAAAGGAGAAAATATTCCCAAATCCCAGCAGGGAATTCTGGAGAACCTGAGAATTTTTAGGATCTAAAAAAATCCCAAATTTTAGGGGATTCTTCACCAGAAGCAGGGCATTGCTGAAATGAGGAAAAATCCAAAATTTTAGAGATTCCTAAAATGAAATGATTCCTGAAATGAAATTTCAGGCATTTGTGAAATGAGAAAAAATCCCAAATTTTAGGAGATTTTTCTTTTTCTACTTCACCTGAAGCAGGGCATCGCTGAAATGAGGAATTTGGTTTTTTTTAAGGAATTTCTGCCTTGGAAAGGATAAAATATTCCCAAATCCCAGCAGGGAATTTTGGAGAACCTGAGAATTTTTAGGATCTAAAAAAATTCCCAAATTTTAGGAGATTCTTCACCTGAAGCAGGACATTCCTAAAATGAGGAATTTGGGGTTTTATAAAAGGAATTTTTGCCTTGGAAAGGGAAAAAATCCTTCCCAAATCCCACCAGGGAATTCTGAAGAACCTGGCAATGAGGAGCAGGACAAGTTTTAGGATCTAAAAAAATCCCAAATTTTAGGAGATTCTTCCTTTTGTGCTTCACCTGAAGCAGGGCATTGCTGAAATGAGGAAAAACTCCAAATTTTAGGGATTCCTGAAATGAAGTTTCTGAAATGAAATTTCAGGCATTTGTGAAATGAGAAAAAATCCCAAATTTTAGGGAAGCAGGACATTCCTGAAATGAGGAATTTGGGTTTTTTTTAAGGAATTTCTGCCTTGGAAAGGACAAAATATTCCCAAATCCCAGCAGGGAATTTTGGAGATGCCTCCAAAGCAGGAATGTGCTGCCCCTGAGAGCCGTGGGGTGAAAAGGGCATTGCTGAAATGGAGAACATTTCAATTTTCCAGGGTTTTTTGGGGGGATTTGGGGCCTCACCTTGGCTGGGCAGCCCGGGCTGTGCCCGCTGGTGGCACTGAGAGGCTTCACTGCCACCACAGTCGGGGGGCACTCGGGGCCCTTCCTCTTCAGGGGCTGCTTGGGAGGGGCTCTGGCGTCCAGAGGCTGCAGGGACACCCTGGGCTTGGCTGGCAGGGGAAAAGGGAAAAATGATCTGTGAAAACCTCTTTATCAATCAAATTCATTCCTTTATCAATCACATCCATTCCTTTATCAGTCAAATCCATTCCTTTATCAATCACATCCATTCCTTTATCCATCACATCCATTCCTTTATCCATCACATCCATTCCTTTATCAATCACATCCATTCCTTTATCAATCAAATTCATTCCTTTATCAATCACATCCATTCCTTTATCAATCAAATTCATTCCTTTATCAATCACATCCATTCCTTTATCAATCGAATCCATTCCTTTATCAATCAAACCTCTTCCTTTATCAATCAAATCCATTCCTTTATCAATCAAATCCATTCCTTTATCAATCAAATCCATTCCTTTATCAATCACATCCATTCCTTTATCAATCAAATCCATTCCTTTATCAATCAAACCTCTTCCTTTATCAGTCAAATCCATTCCTTTATCAATCAAATCCCTTCCATTATCAATCACATCCATTCCTTTATCAATCAAATCCATTCCTTTATCAATCAAATTCATTCCTTTATCAATCTAAACACCTTTATAAAATTGCTTTATCTATTAAATCCCTTTATCAACCAAACCCCTTTATCAAATCCCTTTACTTATTAAATCCCTTTATCAATCAAATCCCTTTATCAAGCCCCCACCTCTGCCTCTCCTCTCAGGCAGCTGAGCTCCCTAAACCCCAACCCCACATGGAGCATTCCCATAAACCCCAACCCCACACAGAACATCCCAAACCCAAACCACTGCCATAAATCCCAACCCCACACAGATCATTCCCAACCCCACACAGATCATTTCCCTAAATCCCAACCCCACAAAAACCATTCCCCTAAACCCCAATCCCAAAATATCCCAGCCCCACCTCTGCCCCTCCTCTTGGGCAGCTGAGCTCCCTAAATCCCAACCCCATATGGAGCATTCCCATAAACCCCAACCCCACAAAGAACATCCCAAACCCAAACCATTGCCATAAATCCCAACCCCACAAAAACCATTCCCTTAAACCCCAACCCCACACAGCCCATCCCAAACCCAATCCTAACCCCAAATGATTCCCATAAACGCAGCCCCACCTCTGCCCCTCCTCTCGGGCAGCTGAGCTCCCTAAACCCCAACCCCACATGGAGCATTCCCATAAACCCCAATTCCACACAGATCATTCCCAACCCCACACAGATTATTTCCCTAAATCCCAACCCCCACAAAAACCATTCCCCTAAACCCCAACCCCACACAGATCATTCCCAACCCCACATATATCGTTCCCCTAAACCCCAAACCCACACAAAGCATTCCCACAAACCCCACACAGAACATTCCCCTAAACCCCAACCCCACACAGATCATTTCCCTAAATCCCAATTCCACACAGATCATTCCCAACCCCACACATATCGTTCCCCTAAACCCCAACCCCACACAGATCATTCCCACAAACCCCACACAGAGCATTCCCATAAACCCCAACCCCACACAGATCATTCCCAACTCCACACAGATCATTCCCACAAACCCCAACCCCACAAAGAACATCCCAAACCCAAACCACTGCCATAAATCCCAACCCCACACAGACCATTCCCACAAACCCCAACCCCACAGATCATTCCCAACCCCACACAGACCATTCCCACAAATCCCAACCCCACAAAAACCATTCCCCTAAACCCCAACTCCACACAGATCATTCCCAACCCCATACAAATCATTTCCCTAAACCCCAATTCCACACAGATCATTCCCAACCCCACACAGATAATTCCTCTAAACCCCAACCCCACACAGCCCATCCCAAACCCAACTCCAACCCCACATAGATCATTCCCAACCCCACACAGACCATTCCCACAAACCCCAACCCCACAAAGATCATTTCCCTAAACCCCAACCCCACACAGATCATTCCCAACCCCACACAGCCCATCCCAAACCCAACCCCAATCCCAAATGATTCCCATAAGCAGCCCCACCTCTGCCCCTCCTCTCGGGCAGCTGAGCTCCCTAAACCCCAACCCCACACAGAACATTCCCAACCCCACACAGAACATTCCCACAAACCCCAACCTCACACAGCCCATCCCAAACCCAACCCCAACCCCAAACCATTGCCATAAATGCAGCCCCACCTCTGCCCCTCCTCTCGGGCAGCTGAGCTCCCTTTTTCCCCGGCTCCTTCTCTGCAGTTCCCGCTCCATCCTCGCCGCTTTTCCCTCCTCTCCTCCTGCCCAGCTGGGCTGAGCCCACAGCAGCCTCGGGGCTCCCTGATCCTGAGGGTTTTTCCTGGTTTTTATTTTTATCCTGGTTTTTTTCCTGGATTTCGGCCGGGTTTGCCCCAGCTCCCTGCTGCAGCTTCTCCTCCTGCCGCTGTTTCTGCTGCCGTTTCTCCCACATGATTTCCTCCAGGCTCTTCACCTGAATTCCAGAATTCCCTGAATTCTGACAGGGGAAAAAAAACACCAAGAGGGTTTTTAGGGGAAAAATTTGGGATAAAAATCTATGGAAATGAGAGGAATTGATCAGAAATGTGACATTTTTGTTATAAATTTGTTCAGACTCACCTCAGCAGGGGCAGAGCCACTTTTGGCAGAAGGTTTGTTCAGCTCCACAATCATTTTTTCTTCTCTTCCAGGTGCTTTAAACCAAGAAAAACATCCAAAAATTGGGTTTTTAATGTTTTATTGGGGGGTTATTTGCCTATTTTTATTAACAGGAAACAATTCCTGAAGGATTTTCTGTTTCCTTCAGTCCCACCATTGAGTACCATCATCATTACTATTATCATTTATTATTATTACCAATTATTATTATTATTGTTATTGTTGTTATTACTCAGAAATGGATCAATCCTTCCCAAGCAATATTCCAAAGGGGAATGGGATGGATTCCAGCACTGGCAAGATTCCACCACACAAATCCAGGGCAGAATAAAAAGAAGGAAATTCCCAAGGAGGAGAATCAGAATTCCCAAAGGGAAGCACAATTCCCAAGGAAATGCAGAACTCCCAAAGGGGAGTATAACTCCCAAAAAAGAATCAGAATTCCCAAGGAAATGCAGAACTCCTAAGGGGAAAGAATTCCCAGAGGAAAGGAGAATTCCCAGTGGAAGCAGAATTCCTAAGAGGGAGGAGAATTCCCAAAGGGAAGCAGAATTCCCAAGAACAATCAGAATTCCCAGGTGGAAACCACAATTCCCAGGGACAAGCAGAATTCCCAAGGAGAATCAGAACTCCCAAGAAGGGGAAGCAGAATTCCCAAGGGACAATCACAACTCCCAGGGACAATCACAATTCCCAGGGGACAATCAGAATTCCCAGGGGACAACCAGAATTCTCAGGGGACAATCAGAACTCCCAAGAACAACCACACTTTCCAAGGACAATCCCAGCATTCCCAAGGACAATCCCAACTCCCAGGGGACAATCAGAACTCCCAGGGAGAATCAAGAAATCCCAAGGACAACCAGAATTCTCAGGGGACAATCCCAACTCCCAAGGGACAATCCCAACTCACAGGGGACAATCACAACTTCCAGGGACAGTCAAAATTCCCAGGGGACAACCCCAGCATTCCCAGGGGACAACCACACTTCCCAAGGACAATCCCAGCTCCCAGGGGACAAACAGAACTCCCAATGAGAATCAGAACTCCCAATGACAACCACACTTCCCAAGGACAATCAGAATTCCCAGGGGACAATCCCAGGGGACAACCCCAGCATTCTCAGGGGACAACCCCAGCTCCCAGGAGACACTCCCAGGGGACAGTCCCTGCTTCCAGGGGACAATCCAGCATTCCCAAGGACAATCCCATCTCCCAGGGGACAGTCAGAACTCCCAGGGGACAACCAGAATTCCCAGGGGACAATCCCAACTCCCAAGGACAATCCCAACTCCCAGGGACAACCACACTTTTCAAGGACAACCCCAGCTCTCCCAGGGGACATTCCCAGGGGACAATCCCAGCTCCCAAGAACAACCACAATTCCCAAGGACAACCAGAATTTCCAGGGGACAATCCCAGCATTCCCAAGGACAATCCCAGCACTCCCAGGGGACAATCCCAGCTCTCAAGGACAACCCCTGCTCCCATGGGACAATCACAGGGGACAGTCCCTGCTTCCAGGGGACAATCCAGCATTCCCAAGGACAACCCCAGCATTCCCAGGGGACATTCCCAGGGGACAACCCCAGATCTCAAGGAACAACCCCAGCATTCCCAGGGGACAATCCCAGCTCCCAGGGAACAATCACAACTCCCAAGAACAACCACACTTCAAGGACAATCCCAACTCCCAGGGGACAATCCCAGGGAACAATCCCAGGGGACAGTCCCTGCTCCCAGGGGACAATCCCAGCATTTCCAAGGACAATCCCAGCTCTCAAGGACAACCCCATCTCCCAGGGAACACTCCCAGGGGACAATCCCATCTTCCAGGGGACAATCCCAGCACTCCCAGGGTACCCTCCCAGGGACAGTCCCTGCTCCCAGGGGACATTCCCAAGAACAACCCCAGCATTCCCAAGGACACTCCCAGCTCCTAGGGGACATTCCCAAGGACCCTCCCATCTCCCAGGGTACCCTCCAGGGACAGCCCCCACTCACCCAGCACCTTGGTGACCCTCAGCAGTTTCCTGCCTCTCCCAGCAGCCTGGGCAGGGCCGGGGGTGCCCGGCACGTTNATCAGTCAAATCCATTCCTTTATCAATCAAATCCATTCCTTTATCAATCAAATCCATTCCTTTATCAATCAAATCAATTCCTTTATCAATCAAATCCATTCCTTTATCAGTCACATCCATTCCTTTATCAGTCACATCCATTCCTTTATCAATCAAATCCATTCCTTTATCAATCAAATCCCTTTATCAAGCCCCCACCTCTGCCTCTCGTCTCGGGCAGCTGAGCTCCCTAAATCCCAACCCCACATGGAGCATTCCCATAAACCCCAATTCCACACAGATCATTCCCAACCCCACACAGAACATCCCAAACCCAAACCACTGCCATAAATCCCAACCCCACAAAAACCATTCCCTTAAACCCCAACCCCAACAGAACATTCCCAACCCCACAAAGAGCATTCCCTAAGCCCCAACCTCACACAGAACATCCCAAACCCACACAGAACATTCCCCTAAACCCCAACCCCACACAGATAATTCCTCTAAATCCCAACCCCACATGGAGTATTTCCCTAAACCCCAATTCCACACAGAACATTCCCAACCCCACACAGATCATTTCCCTAAATCCCAACCCCACACAGATCATTCCCAACCCCACACAAATCATTTCCCTAAATCCCAACCCCACAAAAACCATTCCCCTAAATCCCAACCCCACACAGATCATTCCCAACCCCACACAGACCATTCCCACAAACCCCAACCCCACACAGACCATCCCAACCCCACACAGACCATTCCCCTAAACCCCAATTCCACACAGATCATTCCCAACCCCACACAGATCATTCCTCTAAACCCCAACTCCACACAGACCATCCCAACCCCACACAGATCATTCCCAACCCCACACAGATAATTCCTCCAAATCCCAACCCCACACAGATCATTCCCCTAAACCCCAACCCCACAAAGATCATTCCCAACCCCACACAAATCATTTCCCTAAACCCCAACCCCACACAGATAATTCCTCTAAATCCCAACCCCACAAAAACCATTCCCCTAAACCCCAACCCCACATAGATCATTCCAACAAACCCCACAAAAACCATTCCCCTAAACCCCAACCCCACACAGATCATTCCAACAAACCCCACACAGCACATTCCCACAAACCCCAACCCCACACAGATTATTCCCAACCCCACATAGAACATTCCTCTAAACCCCAACCTCACACAGAACATTCCCCTAAACCCCAACCCCACACAGAACATTCCCAACCCCACACAGATCATTTCCCTAAACCCCAACCCCACACAGCCCATCCCAAACCCCACACAGATCATTCCCAGCCCCACACAGACCATTCCCACAAACCCCAACCCCACACAGATCATTTCCCTAAACCCCAACATCACACAGATCATTCCCAACCTCACACACACCATTCCCATAAATCCCAACCCCACACAGCCCATCCCAAACCCAACCCCAACCCCAAACCATTGCCATAAATGCAGCCCCACCTCTGCCCCTCCTCTCGGGCAGCTGAGCTCCCTTTTTCCCCGGCTCCTTCTCTGCAGTTCCCGCTCCATCCTCGCCGCTTTTCCCTCCTCTCCTCCTGCCCAGCTGGGCTGAGCCCACAGCAGCCTCGGGGCTCCCTGATCCTGAGGGTTTTTCCTGGTTTTTATTTTTATCCTGGTTTTTTTCCTGGATTTCGGCCGGGTTTGCCCCAGCTCCCTGCTGCAGCTTCTCCTCCTGCCGCTGTTTCTGCTGCCGTTTCTCCCACATGATTTCCTCCAGGCTCTTCACCTGAATTCCAGAATTCCCTGAATTCTGACAGGGGAAAAAAAACACCAAGAGGGTTTTTAGGGGAAAAATTTGGGATAAAAATCTATGGAAATGAGAGGAATTGATCAGAAATGTGACATTTTTGTTATAAATTTGTTCAGACTCACCTCAGCAGGGGCAGAGCCACTTTTGGCAGAAGGTTTGTTCAGCTCCACAATCATTTTTTCTTCTCTTCCAGGTGCTTTAAACCAAGAAAAACATCCAAAAATTGGGTTTTTAATGTTTTATTGGGGGGTTATTTGCCTATTTTTATTAACAGGAAACAATTCCTGAAGGATTTTCTGTTTCCTTCAGTCCCACCATTGAGTACCATCATCATTACTATTATCATTTATTATTATTACCAATTATTATTATTATTGTTATTGTTGTTATTACTCAGAAATGGATCAATCCTTCCCAAGCAATATTCCAAAGGGGAATGGGATGGATTCCAGCACTGGCAAGATTCCACCACACAAATCCAGGGCAGAATAAAAAGAAGGAAATTCCCAAGGAGNTCCCCGCTCTGCTGCAGCCTCAGCGCCTTCTCCCTCTTGATCTCCTCCAGGGTTTTGATCCGAACCTCTGCAGCTCCCCTGGCCCTGCCAGCCTGTGCCAGCTGCACCCTGCCAGCAGCTGGGGCACCGAGGTTCTGTCTCCTGGCATCTCCCTCGCTTCTGGCCCTGCTGCTCAACTCCTCAGCTTTCTCCTTCTCCTCTCCCAACCTTTTGTGGTTTTTTTCCACCAAGGCTCCCATCAGGGATTTGCTGCGAGCAGCAGGGGAAGGTTTGGCTGCTGAATTTGGTTCTTCAGTTTTCCTTCCTTCTGCTGGGATTTTGGCTGGGGGTTCTCCTGCTCTCCTCTGCTTGGCTCTCTCCAGGCGGATTTCCTCCAGGGTTTTCACTCTGATCTCCTCGATGGGTTTGGCAGCTTGGTCTGAAAAAATCCAGGAGTGAAACAGAGAAGGGGGAAAATCTCCAGAGGGAATTTGGGATTGAGGGCTCTCAGTGATCCTTGGGTTGAAGGATTTGGAGGAGCATCCAGGGACACTTTTCCCTTATCCCAGGTGGCTGCAAACAGGACTGGGACACTCCAGGGATGGGGAAAACACAAATTCTCTGGGAATGAGTGTGGAGTGCTGAAATTGGGATTTTTTAATGGAATAATGGAATGGTTTGGGTTGGAAGATCTTAAGGATGATCCCATTCCCACCCCACGGTCCCAGGGAGCCCCAAACCCCATCCAGGCCTGGGATGGGGCAGCCACGGATTCTCTGGGAATGAATCAATTCTGAAATTGGGATTTTTTTTTCTCTAGGAATGAATCAATTCTGAAATTGGGGTTTTTTTATGGGATTCTCTGGGAATGAATCAATTCTGAAATTGGGATTTTTTTACAGAATTATGGAATGGTTTGGGTTGGAAGATCCTAAGGATCATCCCATTCCCAGCCCTGTCATTTCCCATGGTCCCTTGATCCCAAACCCCATCCAGCCCTGGGATGGGGCAGCCACGGATTCTATGGGAATTTGCAGGCTGGGAATGAGTCTGGAATCCTGAAATTGGGATTTTTTAATGGAATTATGGAATGGTTTGGGTTGGAAGATCCTAAGGATGATCCCATTCCCACCCCATGGTGCCAGGGTGCCCCAAACCCCATCCAGGCCTGGGATGGGGCAGCCATGGATTCCCTGGGAATGAATCAATTCTGAAATTGGGATTTTTTTTTAATGGGATTCTCTGGGAATGAATCAATTCTGAAATTGGGATTTTTTTACAGAATTATGGAACGGTTTGGGTTGGAAAACCCTAAGGATCATCCCAGTCCCACCCCATGCCACCTCCCATGGTCCCAAACCCCATCCAGCCTTGGGATGGGGCAGCCACAGATTCCCTGAGGATTTGCAGGCTGGGAATGAGTCTGGAATCCTGAAATTGGGATTTTTTTATGGAATCATGGAATGGTTTGGGTTGGAAGATCCCATTGCCACCCCATGGTGCCAGGGTGCCCCAAACCCCATCCAGCCTTTTTTTTATGGGATTCTCTGGGAATGAATCAATTCTGAAATTGGGATTTTTTAATGGGATTCCCTGGGAATGAATCAATTCTAAAATTGGGATTTTTTTTTAATGGGATTCTCTGGAAATGAATCAATTCTGAAACTGGGATTTTTTACAGAATAATGGAATGGTTTGGGTTGGAAAACCCAAAGGATCATCCCATTCCCACCCTATATCACTTCCCATGGTCCCAAACCCCATCCAGCCCTGGGATGGGGCAGCCAAAGATTCTCTGGGAATGAATCAATTCTGAAATTGGGATTTTTTACAGAATAATGGAATAATTTGGGTTGGAAAACCCTAAAGATCATCCCAGTCCCAGCCCTGTCACTTCCCATGGTCCCAAACCCCATCCAGCCTTGGGATGGTGCAGCCAAAGATTCTCTGGGAATTCCATCCCAGCCCCTGGGAGTTCTTGGGAAGAAAAAAAACCAAAAATAAAGAATATTTCAATTTCAATATTTTCATTTTTACCTGTCTCAGTGCTGCTCTGCTCTGAGGGCAGCCCCAGCCTCTCCTTCAGGGACTTCAGCACTTGAACTAAAAATCAAGAGAAAAGGTTTTAAAAAGTGGCAAAAATCTCAATTTTGAGTGGGAAATGAGACAGGAGAGCCCCTCAGTGAGAATCAGAGGGACTGTGAAGCCTCAATCAGTGTGCAGAAAGAAGCAGGAGAAAGGAGGAACAGAAATCCCAAAGGGAAAAGCTGGACAGAAACCCCAATACAAAACCCCAATACAAAATCCCAATACAAAATCCCAATATAAAATCCCAATGCAAAACCCCAATATAAAATCCCAATATAAAGCCCCAATACAAAATCCCAATATAAAACCCAATACAAAATCCCAATACAAAATGCCAATATAAATCCCCAATATAAAAATATAAAACCCCAATACAAAATCCCAATACAAAATTCCAATACAAAACCCCAATACAAAACCCCAATACAAAACCCCAATACAAAACCCCAATATAAAACCCCAATACAAAAATACAAAATCCCAATCCAAAATCCCAATATAAAATTCCAATACAAAATCCCAATACAAATCCCCAATATAAAAATATAAAACCCAATACAAAATCCCAATACAAAACTTCAATATAACATCCCAATATAAACCCCCAATATAAAATCCCAATATATAACCCCAATACAAAATCCCAATATAAAACCCCAATATGAAATCCCAATATAAAATCCCAATACAAATCCCCAATATAAAAATATAAAACCCAATACAAAACCCCAATATAAAACCCCAATATAAAATCCCAATATAAAACCCCAATATGAAATCCCAATACAAAATCCCAATCCAAAACCCCAATACAAAATCCCAACACAAAACTTCAATATAACATCCCAATATAAAACCCCAACACAAAATCCCAATACAAAATCCAATACAAAATCCCAATACAAAATCCAATACAAAATCCCAATACAAAATCCCAATACAAAACTCCAATACAAAAACCCAATACAAAATCACAATATAAAAACCCCGACATAAAATCTCGATATAAAATCTCGATACAAAATCCCAATATAAAATCCCAATCCAAAACCCCAATCCAAAACCCCAATCCAAAACCTCAATAGAAAACCCCAATAGAAAACCCCAATACAAGACCCCAAGTACAAAACCCCAATACAAGATCCCAATACAAAATCCCAATATAAAACCCCAATACAAAACCCCAATACAAAACCCCAATATAAAATCCTGATACAAAACCCTGATACAAAACCCAGATACAAAATCTCGATATATAACCCCGATATATAACCCCGATACAAGACCCCAAGTACAAAACCCCAATACAAAACCCCAATCCAAAATCCCAATACAAAACCCCACTACAAAACCCCTATATATAACCCCAATACAAAATCCCATATAAAACCCCAATAGAAGACGGTACCTGTTCCTCTCCTGGGTGCCCGGTCGTGGCCGTGCTGCAGCTCCGCCCTCC